GAACTTGTCACTTTCTAGGCTTTACCCTTGTGTCATGGTTTAGCAAGATTCAAAATTCCGTTGCACTATTGACCGCCGAAGCCGAATACATTTCGACTGCTAGTTGTTGTGCTCAAGTTTTATGGATGAAACAAACTCTTAGTGATTATCACTTAACATTTGAAAATACTCCTATTATGTGTGATAACACCAGTGCTATAAATTTGTCAAAAAAATCCTATATTGCACTCTTGCACAAAACATATTGAATTCGACATCATTTTTTGGAGATCATGTGCAAAAAGGTAATATTTATTTGGAATTTATTAGTACCGATAAATAATTGGCCGACATTCTTACTAAGCCTCTCGCTCTCGATAGATTTTCTTATATTCGTAGAGGTTTGGGGTATTATCGAAGAATCCGAAATATGTGGTTAAATTTGTTTAATATAGAAAATTACATTTTCATCGATAAATTTAACTATTTTTGGTTGACCATTCATCATTTCGGTCGATTGAAACTACTCTACCGAAACAAACTGAGGCATTCTAAATCATTTTATGCAAAATTTCGGTCGATCAAATTGAAATCTCGGCCGACCAAATTATATCAGCCGAAATGTCCTGAGGGTGGACAATCAAAATCGAAATTCTGCAAGAGAATTTCGATCAGCCGAAATTCTTCGACCAGTCGAAATTCTGTCAAAGAATTTCGGCCAGCCAAAATTCTACCACAGAGCCGAAAGCCGAAATTCTGTGGAGGAGAATTTCGGCCAGCCGAAAGCAACTGGGGCCAAAATTTTTCTTCTTTTTAGACTCGTCTTCTACACTTCTTCTCCTAGAATTTTTTTTACATTTCTCCTAAAAATTCCAATTTAACGATTCTCTCATCCATATTTCTCTTAAAATCCTACTCAAAACCTCACCATATCTATGAGTTTCATCTCACTTTTTCAACCAATCTCAAGCTTTACATCAACAAAAAAAAATTAAAAAAATAAAATTGGATGTTTGGGATTTTAGGTTCTACATTTAAAAAATTCTCATTTCTCTTCAAATACTTCTTGTAAATCATATCTAAGCCATAATCCACTTCAAATACTCGTTACCCATTCACTTCCAACTATTTTCCACTAATTTTTCTTTAACATTTTTGAACACCCAAAAATCCCTCACTCCAAAATCGAAAATTCCAAAAACACCCATGCCTCCAAAGAAGAAATCAAAGAAAGGGGAAGCAAGCTCGTCGAATATTGAGGTTCACACGCCCATGCCCGACCGTTTCACCAATTGTCCCATTTTAATCGGTAAGTCAATTGATTTCCTTGATTTCTCTACCAAAGCTCCTTCGTTCAGAATTGAGGAATATTTTGAAATTATTGGATGGACAAATGTGGTCACGGTCTCTGAACATGTTTATCCTAATTTAATTCGCCGTAATCTTTCATTTTACTCCCTTGTTGCCCATAGTGAGGTTAAAGGAATACGGTTTACTCTTGATAAGGATACCATTCAAGAAATTTTTGAGTTAAATGCATGTGAACCGTGCTTACATTCTTCATTATCCAGTTAAATTTGATGACTATGACGACCTCGAAGCTTGTTATCGAGTCACCAATCGATCCATATCCACCACAATGACTCTAAACCTAAATCACCTTACCATACCATGCAAAATTCTTCACCATGCCATTGCTCATATTATAGTCCCTTGGAATGGACACTTTGAAGAGTTTCACCACCTCGACTTGTTCATTCTTGACTCTTTTCTTGTTGGTCGTCAATTGGACTTTCCCTACCTATTTTTGAAGCACATTAAACATATCTATGATTGTCCTAGAGCTGTAGGCTTACCTTATGGCATGCTTCTTACAAAAATCTTTCAACATTTCAATGTGTCATTAGACGATGAGCCTTTTCTCAAGCCCAAACACACTAATGTCATTAACCTCCACACTCTTAAACGAATGAAAAATGTTAAAGGCAATGGGCAATAGGTGTGTAATACTCAAGATTTCGATAATAACTCAGGACCTACAACTTGGCCTTTTACTTCGGAAGAGGCTGCAGAAGACATGGGCGGCGTTGGTAATATTGTTGGTGATGATAATATTGGGGGTCATGGTGATGATAGCAATGGTTGTGATAATTCCTCTCAAGCACGACATGGAGCTCCTACTCTACAAATAGCTCCAACCTCCGGCCAATATATTTCCAAAGATCAATTCCACAACCTAGAAGGCCGGATTGACTCTCTTTCCACTAATGTCAATATGCTTGATCAACGAATGGAACAAATAAATTTTTCGATTAATCTTCAAATGGAGCAAATGAATTTCTCACTTGATCAACAAATGGAGAAAATGAGGTTATCTTAGTAGGCTTTCTTTACACATATGTATTCCATTTATCCTCGAGGGCCTCCTCCACCGGCAGAAGATTAAAACTTTATCTCTAATGCTCTACTTTTTAGTTAACTCATGTTTTTATGTCGTGACTTATAATTAACTTCGCTTGTTTTGTACATATGCCTTGTCTAAAAGGGAATTTATCGTTGTTCCCATACTTTTTAATGATGACAAAAGGGGGGAAAAAGGAATGATTATGTGATTACAATGAAACTTGATATTTGATTATGAATTATGATTTGTAAGGTCAATACATTATAATGACTTCTAAATATGATTTAGAATGTCATTGAATTGTGAAAATGAATGCCTTTAGAACATCATGATATATATGATACAAACTTTATTCTCATTGATGTGTAAAAGATAGGGGGAATATCTTGTATATATCTATAAATCACATATTGTTTGTCATAATCAAAAAAGGGGAAATTGTTGACCGATGATTTAATTTAGCTCAACTTGTTTTGATTATAACAAACAATACACTTTTGTTTCTAACCAGTTTTTGTTTCTTGAGTTTTTTCATGAATATATTTTCTTAAGCATTCAAAGACTCAAATCATCATTCGTTGAAGAACAAGCAATCAAATGAGAGTCGAAGAGAT